CACAGCTGCCCCGGCCAACTCCCGCAGCCTACATAACATGTGAGTGGTCGAGCGCCACAGCGGGCCTGGCCAACTCCCGCAGCCTCCCATAGCATATGCCGCACCCCACCTCGACGCGAGCGCGATATGATCGCTGCGTCTGCATCCACTCAAGCCAACGACACTTCGCATGTGTCATGTGGGCCTCAAGAGGAAAATCCTTCGGCCTGCTCAAGTACTCTTCATCATCTTCATCTGCATCATCAGCATCAGCATAGCATCATCACCACCGCCATCATCATCATCATCATCATCATCATCATCATCATCATCGTCGTCGTCATCATCATCAGCATCATCAACACCATCACAATCAGATCGCCAGCATCATCAGCATCATCAGCATCATCATCAGCATCATCAACATCATCAGCATCATCACCATCACCACCATCATCATCATCATCAACATCATCCTCAGAATCATCATCACAATCCGCCTCCAGAACATCTTCCTCCTCGACCTCGTCCTCCTCGTCCTCCAGGACCTCCTCTTCATCCGAGATCTCCCAGGACCTCCGCCTCCTCGTCCTCCTTCTCCTTATCCATCCATGGTGGCGGCTCCTAGCTTCTGCTGCATCTGCCTTGCGGTTGTCATCCTATCTCGGCATGCTGTGGACGCTTCTGACAAGAGTCACAACGACCCCTGTCCCCGACTTGGCGGGACTCTCGACTGGCCGAAAAATCTGGTATCCAACTCGGGCATTTACGATGGTGGCGTCCATCCTCGATAAGAGTGCGTCCGAACAGCACCCTGGGGGTGTATAGGCCTCCCGAATGGGGTCCGCGTAGATGGGGTCGGAGGATGCCGCCGCATCGGCGATTCATCGCCGACGTCGGCAACGCATCGGCGCCGTCGGCGTGGAGAAAACCGGACTCCACATCGAGCCGCATCGGCGATGCTTCGGCCATACGGCGTGATCCTCCGATCCCATCTACTCGGACCCCATATGGGAGGCCTAAAGGTTCCCCCGAGTTCCCCTCCACTTCTAAACTCTTACTCTGCGTGCAGGGGGGGCACGGGGAGTGGCGGTAAGGCTTCGGGCTGCGCACAGACAGCCCCCCCAGGCCCCAGGTGGTCCTGCCTGGCGTCAACAGGCCCCCCGAGCAGTCCAGCTGGCCTCAACAGGCCCCCCGAGCAGGCTCGAGCGGTCTCGGCAGCCCAACCCTGGGGCACGGAGCGCCCGGAGGAGCGCCGCAGCAGGCGGGGGCAGGGCGTTGAGACCGCCCCGGACTACTCGGGGGGGCCTCCCGAGGCCAGCTGGGGCTGCTCGGGGAGCCTGCTGAAACAGCCGGGACTGCCTGGGGGACCGTCTGTGCGCAGCCCGAAGCTTTACCAGGGAGTGGTGGCGAGAATTCGCATGCAAATCCAAGGCGCCCCCAAATGCGCCGCCAAACGATGTCCATGTCCACTGCCGCGGCGTCCTCCTCCAGGGACCCGGGGGGCGGTAGATATGGATGTCTGCCCGCCCATTCGGGCGGGCAGACATCCACATCCGCTACTCCTCGAGATCCTAGGGCACGGCTCTGGAGCAGTGGATATGGACATATTCTGGCAGCGCCCCCGAACCCGAAAAGAGAGACCTCTGGCTAGCCTCTGCCCCGTGGCGCCGGCGACGCTGCACCGCCCGCTGGATTCCTGCAAGGCCTTGGGGTCTGGCCCGGCATCGGCGTGTGGCACATGTCAAAGGACTGAGGAGAAGGAGAAGGAGGAGGAGGAGGCGGAGGAGGAGGAGAAAGGAGGAGGAGGAGGAGGCGACGACGAGGAGGAGGAGGAGAAGGAAGAGGAGGAGGAGAAGGAGGAGGAGGAGGAGGAGGAGAGAGCAGAGAGGAGACAGGAGAAGGAGGAGGAGGAGGAGGAGGAGAAGGAGGAGGAGGAGGAGGAGAGAGGAGAAGGAGAGAGGAAGGAGGAGGACGAGGAAAAGGAGGAGAAGAAGGAGGAGGAGGAGGAAGGGGAACGGGGGAGGAGGGGGGAGTGAGAGGACGAGGAGAAGGAGGAGAAGGAGGAGGAGAGAGAGGAGGAGGCGGGGGGAGGGAACGGGGGAGGAGGGAGAGAAGGAGGAGGAGGCGGAAGAAGAAGAGGAGGAGGACGAGGCGGAGAAGGAGGAGAAGGAGGAGAGAGGAGGAAGAGGAGGAGGAGGAGGATGCATGGGCTGATGTTTTCTCCGTCGCCAGGGACACGATCTGTGTTGGGATGTGCTTGCCCCCAAGACTGCAGGGGAGGGGACAACGTACAGACCAGGAAACAGTACTGTAGAAAATCCGCCTGCCTATGCCTCGGCCAGCTTTACAGAAGGGAGGGAGGGTATTGGGTGAAAGCTTGAGCCCCGCGGTTGCGGCAGGGCGGCGCACTCTGCAATTCTCTTCCAAGCAAACCTTTACTGAAGTATTCAAATGCGTGGGCTGATGTTTTCTCCGTCGCCAGGGACACGATCTGTGTTGGGATGTGCTTGCCCCCAAGACTGCAGGGGAGGGGACAACGTACAGACCAGGAAACAGTACTGTAGAAAATCCGAACCAGTGTAAAGCCCAGGAACAGGAAAACCTCCGCGAACACCGCCCTGGACTCAAACATGAGGCCGAAATGTATTAGCACGCTGTTGCAATAGAGCAGCACGAAATACACTCACACTGGCCCGGCAGACGGAGAAGGGGTAGACCTCCGCCTGCTTCGATACGATCTTGGAGCCTTTTCATCTCCAAGGTAAAATGAGGGGAGCTAGTGAACGTACATACACCTCTGCCTCTGCATCGAATATCCAGTGGTCGAAGATCAACGTGACACCCAAGAAGTCGAGTGGATTTTCTCCAGATGGTGCCGAAGGCGCACATGCCGAAAACCACCTCTGAAACACCAGGAAGATGCCGGACCTTGAGGACCAGGGGCTGCCTCCAGAGGTGGGAGCTCGCAGGGTTCTCGACGATCACTGGGCATCCAAGTAGACGGCATTCACGAAAGATACTGAAACTCGCGGCACACAGGGAGTTTCCGAGGTCGACTTCTTCGCGGCAGCTGTCCTTGAGCTCGGGGAGGCCCTCGGGGTACTCGGACGCCCTGAGGGTCGGGGGGCCGTTTGGGCGGTTCCTTGCCAAAGAGAAAGAGTTACACGGCGTGCCCATGAACACGGCCATCACGAACCCACCCTGGACCCAGCCCCGGATCAACTTGACCAGGGCCTTACTGCACATGTTGTGATCCACCCCGTGCCGCATGTCGATCTCGAAAACAGGGTGGCCAGCCAACCTCATGGATCGGCGCCAGGCCTCAGAAAGGTGCCCGGAGCCTGCGAAGATCTCGAGCGCCGCGGGGACGCCCCGCTGCTTCACAAAGAGCGGAAGGCATTCACGAGGGTTACGCCAATGTTCGAGGCCGCCAGGTCGGCGGCGATGAGGATGTCCTGGGTCAGGAGGCTCAGCTGCTCGTTGATGCGCCCGCCCCGCTCGTAACGGGCTAGGCTGCGGTCGCTTGCCCAGCGGCCGCGCTTCTTGGCGCTTAGGAGGGAGCGCGCCTTGAAGAGGAGGTCGTGCGACACCCCTCCGTGGCGGAAGCGGTACAGGCACGGGTCGCCCAGGGCGTTGAGCCCGCAGGCGCTTGCCGCGCCCTTCAAGGCCCGGCCCCACTGCGCCTGGCCGAAATTGAAGACCAGCGAGTGGGGGAACTTGGCCTTCAGGAGGCCCAGCACCTGCGGCAGCCACGGGAACAGGGGGTTGTCCGCGCCAGCAGGCTCTCGTCCACGCGGCCCGTCTTGGACGTGTCACCGCCCTCTTGCGGGAGCAGGAGGAGGGGCCACATCTGGCCCTGGCCGTCCTGCACACGGCGAGGCGCCTGGGCAGGAGCTGTGATCAGCTTTCCCTGCAGACGCAGGCACTCGCTCGGGCGCAGGTAGAACGTGAAGATGATGATGCAAGCCAGCGCCTCCATGACCTGGCCCGCGGCAATCATGCACTGCACGCACAGGCACAGGGCGACCCAGGGGTACGGCAAGCGGCTCTGGGCGGGCACCATGCGCTTCCAGCCCGTCAGGGCGCGAAAGCTGCGGGGCAGCTCGAGGAGCGCTCCGTTGGGGTATGTCCAGAAGTAGCGGAGACCCGCGATCAGCTTCGTCGGCACGTAGGAGAGTTCGCCTGCGAAGAACTTCCCGTGCATGTACGTCACGAGGGCAAGGTCGATCGCCGGCGCCGATCTCAGGGAGGTCGCGATGTCGCTGAACAGGTTGCGCTCCTGGCCCCACTGGTAGAACGCCGCCACGTACGTCTGGTAGTCCTGGGCGGCCTTCGGGGAGATGCTCTGCAGCTCGAGGAAGGTCGGCGCGCCCGGCGGCGTTGGGGCCTCTGCGGCAGCAGGGAAGGTCCTCGCCCGCTTGGCGGCCCTTTCCTCCTGGGCGCCGGGGCCGTGGGGCACCCACTCGCGGCATGGGTGCCGCGAGGAGGGCGCCGGGAGGTTGGGCGCCACCTCCGCGCGGGGCAGGCCCCCGGCGTGAGCGCCCGGGGGGCGCGGCACCAGCTGCGGGCCCGCCGTCGCGGCTGTCGCCGAGGAAGCCATCGCGGAGGGCCTCGAGCCCCGCGGGCCCGAGTGCTGCAACTGGATTCGGCGCAGCATTGAATCGGAAAGCTCCTGCCCGACCTCGAGAAGCGGCATCGGCTGCGTTGGATTCTGATGGGACCCACCTCCAGCCGATATACGAGTTCGAGGCCAACAACATGGCAGCCGTCTGACGGCAACACTGTAGAATCCCAGGGCTCGACGATCGTCCCTTGGTAAACGGAAGAATGGGAGCCATGCAATCGTTCAAAACCAGGTGCTTGCAACCGAAGTTCTGAGTGTTCCGAACTATGTTCTTCACGGTGAGCACGAGCGACCGAGCCTCCAAGACAACCTGGGCTTCCTTGTGGGACCACTTCTGGGACATAACGAGGGACCAGTCGCCGCCGTAAACCGACTCAGGGACCTCGGGGAACTGGGCCTTCGGGATCTCGGAGTCCTGGGGGGAGGCGGTGACACCGCCGCTGACCGAACATTTCAGAGCCGAGCCCCGTGGCTTGAGGATGGCCTCGTGGGCCGCTGAGTAACGCAAACGCTCCGCGTAGTGGCCCACGTGCTGGACTTCCTGGACGCCGCGGATGCCCCTGACGACCCCCGCGCCCCACCAGGACGCGTCGGCGCAGTAGACCATGGGGGGCCAGGCGGCATTGACGTCGCGGAAAGCGAGTGCGATAAGAGCGGCACACCAACGAAGCTCACGTTTGACTGAACTCCAGAGAACACGCGTGTTGTGGCCTGACGACTCGATGAAGGAATACGAAGCATGTAAACATGAAAGTAATTCACGGCGTAGCAGAGCACGAGACGTGAAATGTGACACGACGACCCTGACAAGATCCCCCGAGGCGTGCTTCATGTTCGCGACGGCCAGACACCCTAGTCGCATCCGCCAGCCTACGCGGTGACTGATCCCGATCGTCGGGGCGTCCTGGTCGAAGGTCCAACCGAGAACACCCCCGCCAGCCGATACCGTCGGACCGCGGGTGCGAAACCCAGCGTCCCGGAGACTGCGATCGACGGAGTCAGTCACGGCATACGCGGGGTCCTTCGAGAGGCCAAGGGCAACGAAGTTGTCAACGTACTCTGTATGTAATATCTGCGTGGAAGATCGAACCAGACGGACAGGAAGGTGCGCATCGTCAAAGGCCAGACTGGGGGAGGCCAACGTGTTGGCGCGGGCCCGAAACTCCATGATACGCTGACAGATCCAAAGACTGCGCTTCCATCCCATTGGGACGGCGGTAAAACACGGGGTATCCCAGTCGCTGGCCCTCAAGGGGCCTCCAGCGCAGTCGGTAGTGATACCTAGGACCCCAGCTCGTACTCGAGGAAGGCCGAAAAACTGCCAAAACTCCGGAAGTAACTGAATCCCATAGAAAGCATTCTCAATGTCCGTCTCTCCAACGTAGATGGGCCCCCCACCGTCAACCTCCAGGGCCGAGAACGCCGAACCAGTAGCTAGGTCAACGTGAGGGGGCTCATCGAAATGTTCGCCTGCCTGACGCCCGTCGAGGATCAAACGAAGGTCACCGTTCTTTTTAGCCACAAAGAAGACTCCCACACAAGATGTACACTCTCGCCTCCACGTCACAAGGTTAGACTGACTGAGGCGAAGCAGGAAGCGCGCGTAAAGCCGAGGATGAGAACGGAGATAAGGATCGTGGTAAATTCTGGGAGGAGGTGTAGAAGTATCTGTAAGTGCTGGGTCAGGACGCCGTAGCGCATGCAACTCATCAACTATGGCTTCGCCGACAGAGCCGCCCAGCTGCAAAATTCCAGCAGGTGACCACCCGACAGGAGGAAGGGCGACTCTGTTTATATTGGCCTCGCTGATGGGAACCACGGGGCTGCTCGTCACGGAGTAGCCTGGGTTGACGCGGAGCTCTCGTAAGGCCCCTGCTGAGGTGAGGTCTACCGGGGGCTTGCCAAATCGTAGAACCGCTCGGTGGATATGCTCCAAACACGCCTTCTGGGCCGCCGATACTGTTTGACCGCTGTCCAAACCGTGTTGACCGTGTAGCTGATTCAAAACCGAAACCACCTCGGAGACCAAGGATGCTGACTGACGGTGGACGTCGGATCTCCTCCGAACTTTGCGCGAGACAGAGGTCCTAGGGGGGTCAGAGGAGGCCGGCACAGGCAAGGGGAAGAGATCACGAGGGCACGCTCTCGACATGGGGCCAGGCGCCACGCGATGGCCAGAGCACGAGGAGGACAAGAGGAGGAGGGAGAGATGCTGGCGCGGCCCTGCGCCTCTGTTGGCAGAAAATCGAGGCGCGCCTGCCACAGCGAGCCTAGCCCCTCAGAAAGTGATCAGCGGGCGCCTGGGGGAACGACCGCTGCGTGTCCAAAGCTAATTTGGACCATGGCCCGCATCAGCCCGTTCTTCTCGGGCTTTTCGGACCTGCTTCAGGACGTTGGCATCGCGTTCGACCTGCTTGCCAACCCACTCGACCAGGGCGGGACACACCATCGCGTCTCCCGTCTCTCGCTGCCCCCGGAAAGCCGTGTGCTCATCCAGGTAGCCGAAAGCACCAGCGGCGCCTCCTCGGCCGCGGCCACGGCCACGGCCCTTCTTCTTGGCACTCGGGTCGCCGTCGGCCACCTCGGTGCTGGCGCCAGCAAAGCCGTCGTGCTTCGCGTACGCGTACTCGACCAGCTGCACCTCGCGCATCAGCGACTCGATCCCCGCGACGTTCGGCAGGTCGAGCGAGTCGTAGGCGCCGAGAGTCTCCAGGGCCTTCATCCCGAACTCATGCATCGGGACGCCCCAGCTGTCCTTGTTGAGGCGGTGGACCATCACGAAGAAACGGTGGTGATCGAGCGGCCCGCCGCCTCGACGGTCGATCCAGCGGCAGCACCAGAGGGTGGCGCGAGGGCCCTCTATCGCCCAGTCGGGGAAGGCGATCTCGGACAGCGAGTTGGACACGTCCCGCCATGGGCGACGGGTACGCTGGCCATTCAGCGCGATCACGCTGAGGAGGCGGGCGTCGCCCGCGGCCTCAAGGCCTTTGAAATCCTGCACCTGGTCGGAGCGGATCGTCCGAACCAACACGCCACCGAAGCCAGGAGCCACGTGGATGCCGATGTCACCGGACATGACCTCCGTGCCATTCGGCGCCACTGGAGACCCGCGAGGGCCGTACGTCGTCGTCTCGACCGTGACCAGCATCGGGTAGGGCGCCGCTGCCACCATGCCAAGCCCTGCGGCTAGCGGGGCCCCAGCAGCTGGGGCGCCAGCAGCCATGGCCGCGGGGAAAGCGGCCGGGGCGGCGGCTCCAGGCGCCGCGGCGGCCAGCGGGGCCGCCATCACAGCCCCCGGTGGTGCAGCGCCGGGCAGCACGGCTGGGGGTGCTCCGAACAGGGCCAGCGGGGCGGCGGCCGCGGCGGGGGCGCCCAGGGCCGGAGGGCCCGGGGGGGGCGCCATCCCAGGGAGCGCCAGCGGCAGCCCGAGGGCTGCGGGGGCCACGGCGGCGGCCGCAGCTGGCGCCACGGGCGCGGGCCACACGGCATCGACCAGGCTGCCCGTCGCCGGGAGCACAGCAGGTTGTCCTGCCGCCCGCTCGCGCGCGAGGAAGGCGGCCTTGCAGACGCCTCCGCGTCCAGGCGCATCGCGGCGAGGGCGGCGGCGTCGGGCTCCTGCTGGAAGCGGTACACCTGGCCTCGCGGGATCCCAGGCGGGGGAGGGCGGAAGGCCTCCGACCATCGCCAAGCCTCGACGTCCCGCGAGGCCCCCGAGAGGTCGATCTGCTCGGGGTCGCCGTCCGGCCAGACGCCGATGACCTCGTCAGCGTCAGTCGCTTGAGTCGCCGAGGAGGCCAGCACCCCGACGACGCGCCGCTGGTGGTACAGCGCTTCGCCCTGGTACCGGAGCCACAGCCAGGGTCGTAGTACCGGTGGGGGCATCGCCGCCGCCATCAGTTTCGCGGCGGGGGCACTGAGCCGTCAGCCAGCGCAGCACCTGCCAAATGCCCAGCGCGAGGGCAGGCACCACTGCTCCCCCAGCCGCGCCCAGCAGCAGGAGTCCAGCGGACGCGATCCAGCCAGGGAGCCACGGCGGCGCTGCCGCAGGGGCGGTGCAGGCTGGCTCGGGGGCCCCGGGGCAGCCCGGGCACGCGGGGCACTGCGGGCACGCTGGCGCCGGGGGGCAGTGCACCTCACCGCACACGAGGGAGCCACAGACGGACTCGGGGCACCGCGGGCAGGAACCGAGCCAGGCGAAGGTTGCCTGCCCAGCCCAATGCGCGACAGCCACCGGCAGGTCGGGCATGCGACGCGCGCGAGAAGCGTGCGGACGCCCTTGAAAGCTTGAGCCCCGCGGTTGCGGCAGGGCGGCGCACTCTGCAATTATCTTCCAAGCAAACCTTTACTGAAGTATTCAAAGGAGGAGGAAGAGGAGGAGGAGATGGAGAGAGAAGGAGAGAGAAGGAGAGAGTAGGAGGCGGAGGAGGGGGAACGGGGGAGGAGGGGGGAGGGAATGGAGGTGGAGGAGGTTGAGGAGGGGCGGGAGGAGGAGGAGGGGCAGGACTATGAGGAGGAAAGAGCAGGGAGGAGGGAAGTGGATCGGTTCACGGCCCACGAACCGGGCCAGGGAGGACCCCACACGCGAGCCCCGGAGCACAGGAGGGGCCTGGCGAGAGGCTGGCCTTCGTTCGTTCGTCCGTTCTGGACGCGGAGGACCAGGACAAGGAATGGAAGTCATGATTGGTCAGATTCGCATCCTCCTCCTCTTCCTCCTCCTCCTCCTCCTCCTCCTCCTCCTCCTCCTCCTCTTCCTCCTCCGCCCCCTCTCTGTGTCTGCACCTGTTTCGCCTCATCTGTGTCGTCTTCGCCCTCCTCCCGAGGCGCCTTCCCCATCATCTTCCTCGCCGAGGTCAACGCCGTCGCCTCCAGGGCCGGCGGCACCGACCGTAAGGCCCTGCCAATAGAAATCAAGACTTAGTTCGAACAAGAAGAACCGGGAGGAAGAGCGGGAGATGGAGAAGAGCCAGGAATCAACGGTCGGCGTTGCTCTCAGGGCTGCGGGTGGCTTCGGGGCGATTCGGAGTCACAGCTGGCTATTTCCCCTGCCCCCGAAGAAGGGGAAGGAGAAGGAGAAGGAGAAGGAGAACGAGGAAACGAGGGGGAGGAGCAGGAGTTAGGAAAGGATGAAGAGGAGGACAGGGAAAGATAGTGAGCAGTAGGCGGAAGAGAGGCGGGGAAGGAGGAAAAGGAAAAGGATAAGGAAAATTAGAGGAGAGGTTGAGATGCCTGAGAGGGACACTTGACATCGCTCGGACGTCCTTTCCTGGCGCAGTTCTCGGTTTCGCGCGCTTACTCTTCGCAAGATGATCCAGGGTGCTCTTGGATGGCCCTCGCCAAAAAAAATGCGCACGTCCGAGCGATACCAAGGAGGAGGAGGAGGGATCTGGTGTCGTCGTCGGTGCGTAGCCAGCGTCCCCCAGATTGTGTGTCCGCGCGGCAAGCGTGCTGGAAGCAGCCAAAATCAGGTCGGGCACGTCCTCCTACGAGCGAATGCTGGAGGAACAAATAACATGTCAAAAAAAAGCATTCGCATCTACTCGAATAGAATATGTGCATATATATATATACCCCCGTGATTTCTTGACTCTGCTTGAGTATTCCTCTTGTAGAGTGAGATGCCCGACCTGAAAAACCAGAGGCGCCCGGCGGCGAGAGAGAAAAGTCCGGGCGCCTCCGGGGTCCGCCGCGCCAGCGGCGCCGCAGCCCTGCAGGAGGGGGGGGGAGCGAGGGGCGGAGGGAGGAGGGAGGGCATTGGGGGGCCGAGGAGGAAAGGGATGGGAGGAAGGCCCTTCCTCCCAAGGAAGGGGAGGGATGGGAGGAAGGCCCTTCCTCGACCTCCCCTTCCTGGAAGGGGAGGTCGAGGAGGAATGGGAGGAATGGGAGGAGTGGGATGGGGAGGTCGAGGAGGGGGAAGAGCAGGAGAAGAGGCATGGGAGGAGAGGAAGGGGAGAGGAGGGAGGGGTGAGGCGAGAGTCAGAGGGGAGGAGGGGGGAGAGACGGGAGGGGGGGGAGAGGGGGGGAAAGCGAGAAGGGAAAAGACGGAGCAGCAGCAATAGAGGTTCCCCCTCCTCCGTCTCTTCCTTCTCCTCCTCCCCGTCCCTCCTGAAGAAGCTGACAAGCAACGATGGCAAGAGATCAAGTCCAACATGGGCAGGGAGATCAGGGCGGCCATCCTGTCGGCTATAGGGCCCAGCGCGGAGAAGATCCAAGCTCTGCGCCAAGAAGCTCGAGAGATGCGGACAAGGCTCGCGGCCAAGCGACCCCGTCGAGACGAGCCCGCTTCGCAAGCGGCATCGGATGGCGGATCCGCAGCCTCGGGGGAGTTCCCAGCCGAGAAGGCCGAGAGCTCTGCTGCCGCTGCTGCTGGCCAGCCTCCTACAGATTGCGGCGGCGGTGGGGCAGCCAGTGGAGCGGCAGCTGCTGTCGGTGGGCCAGGAGATCGAGGTGCAGCCAGCGGAGGCAAGGCCGCGGGGTCTGGCTCCGCGATGCCAACCGCTGAGCAGACGGAGGCCACAGTGCGAGCTGCCCGTGAACGGGTCGCCGCCAAGAAGGGAGTTTAGCCCGACCACTTGTATGGGCTTGCCGCCGCCAGGTATTGCAGAGGCTCCTCCTGATCCAGACCGTCATCGGCGAGACCTCGTCATCATGATGTCAGGCTGGAGTGCCAGGTGGATATGGAATCTCGAGGGCCAGACTTTTTTTGGACATGACGTCCTGGATGGACTGGTGCGAGCCGTGGCTTCGTGCTGTTCTTTCTCAGGGCGCCACTGCGGGCCTACGTGACAGTGTCTTGCGACGATACAGTCCTGTACGAAGGGGCAGTCCGGGTGGTTGTTTGGACGAAGCGGTACGAGAGGCCTGTGTTTCAGCATGGGCTCGTGGGAGAGGCAGACGCCATCGTTTTATTGCCATGTTGAGGCCTCTCACATACGAAGCCTGGAGGCCCAGCTGCAGAGCATCGTTGATATGTTTCGAGCGCTGCTGGAACGCCGCAGGGTGCAAGCCTGTGGCGGTTTTTGGGGGGGCGCAGCCGTCCTTGGGGAGCCTGGAGGCCAAGTGCCTGGGCAGACCCTAAAGGGACGGGGTAGCGAGCAAGTCAGGGAAGCCGCAGACATGCGGGTGGCCGAGGCCTTCCCAACTGCTCAGCCTCCACCTCGGGCCGCTGGTGAGCGGATTGCAGCCCCGAGGTCGAGCGACCCCTCCCAAGATGCCCAGGCGGAATGTGCAGGACTGCCCGAAGGAGGGTTTGATGGTCAACCTGTGGTGCGTCTCCTCTCATACAACTCCAATGCGTGGGCCACGGGCCTCAAGCATTTAGAGTGGGCAAAGGAGGTGAAAGGAGACGTGTACGACGCGGTCTTTTTTCAGGAACATCCACTGGAGGCCGCTCAGTGCGGGGCCCCAAGGTCATGGTCGTTCTAGGCAGGTTATCACTCAACGTTTGGGGCAGCAGCCAGGACGGGTGAAGGCGAACGAGAGACGTCAGGTGGCACAGCTGCGTTGGTCAAACCGGCGTTTGGATCTGCAGATTTTCAGCATGCGAACAGTTCTCACAGGATCGTTGTTCGTCGCATTGCAGTGTATAACACCAAGCAGCTGCTCTTTGTCTCAGTTTACGGTCATACCACTCAGGGCTTGGCTGGCGCAAATCTTCAGTTTTTAGATCAGGCCAGTGAGTTGGTGGTAGACTCAGGTATTCCTTTCGTTATTGCGGGCGACTGGAACACTGATGCGGAGGATCTTCGCAACTCGGAGTGGACGAAGCACATTGGCGCGAGCATCATCAGACCCTCGGGGCCCACGTGCCACGACATGTGCTACGACTTTTTTGTGCTGAGTTCGTGCCTAGACTACTACGTGGGCCAGTGCCAGTCGGTGCTGGAGACTCCTGTCGGTCCGCATTTGGCAGTAGAGCTGACGCTGAAGGGCCTTGCTGGGCCTGCCAAGGTCTGGAAGAGCATCGTGGCTCACCCGCTTCCGCTGCCCAAGTCAAAGGAGGAGAAGGAGAGGATGGTTTTTTTCTGGCCCCTGGGAGGGTCCCACTTTTCAGGGCTCGGGCCCCCAGGAGGCCGCGGCTTCGTGGTTCGAAGCTGCCGAGAAGGCCCTCTGCGAGGTCCATGGCATCCAGGATCGCAGGTCTTTAGGGCGCCCCCGAGGCTGCAAGCTCCAGTTGGTGCCGCTGCAAGCGGCCTGGGGCCAAGACCTGCACCTTAGGAGTAATCTCGCGACTCGCAGGTGGCTCTCTTTTCGGCGTCTGTCCATCGCGCTGATGAAAGGCCGTGGAGAAGCTAAGATTCGGGACCTGGCGACTGGCTTCCAGGACCTTTTCTCGTCGGCCTTGGTGGCCGAGCTGAACAGCCACACGGTCGAGTCCATCTGTTCGCTCCTCCTAGATCCCTCCTCCCGCAGCAGAGCAGCAGACCTGCTCCAGGAGGAGGTACTGCGCCTGGTGAGGCAGGAGGCGGCAGGGGGCCGCCAGAGGTGGCGGTCGTGGGCTCAGTCGTCGGTCGTTGATCGGGGGCCGAGGGCGGCTCACGAGTACATCAGAGGCCCAGCCCCTCCGCCCCTGCCAGCTTTTGCAGACGACGCTGCTATGGAGGAGGAGGAGGAGGAGCTCGGAGGTCAACGGCCGCAGGTCGGACAGCAGGCCCCTGATCAGACTTTGAGGCAGTGGCGCCCGATGTGGGGCAGTCCGAGGAGGCAGGAGGGCCGACCCGTTGAGCTGGACCGTGAATGGAGACCTGGCTCCGATCACGGTCGACGACGCCTTGGGGGCGGCGGCCTCCTTCTCGCCATCCACAGCTTTGGGGTGGGACTCTTTCAGTACCAGGCTGCTGCTCCAGCTGCCTGGGCCTCTTGTTCAATCTTTTGTGGATATCCCGAATGCCTGGGAAAAGCACCCCACGTTAGGGCCCATGTGGCTTGTCCGAATCGTGTTTTTAGACAAGCCATCGGGAGGGGACAGGCCCATTGGGCTCCTTCCTATGTGGGCTCGCGTGTGGAGTCGCATCCGTCACAGACTGTGCTCGGAGTGGGAGCGTTCTTTGGATGTTCGGTTTTTCTGGGGAATGAGCACCAGCACAGCCTGCGACAAGATTGCATGGGTCCATAATGCCCTGGCAGCGTATGCACGTTTGGTTCCAGGACTTGAGACGTGCACGCTGTTTTTGGACTTGGGAAAATTTCATGAGCACATCTCACACCAGGAGCTTCAGTCGGCAGCAGAGCACGCAGGGTTTCCTTTGCCATTGCTCCGTGCATATTGTACAGTGTATCGAGCGCCTCGTAGTGTGACTTGGCAAGGGTCCATCAGCCGCGAGATTTTCAATAATGGCACGGTGATTGCTGGCTGTTCGGGAGCTACTTCGTTGGCGCGCCTGCTCTTGCTGGCCTGCCTCAAGAAAGCTTATGTGGCCAACCCCACGGTATGGCTAAAGAGGGTCATAGATGATGTATCGCTGCACGCAGTCGGAGGTGCGGCGACGATCAGGCGCGAGCTAGCAGCATCTTTTTCGACGATTGCGGCTGATTTGAAAAAGAAGGGCCTGCCCATAGCAGACAATAAGCTCGGCCTGCTCTCATCGTCCAAGTTGTTGGCAGAACAAGTCATTGCCGACTGCGATCTCCCCCCTAATGTCAGATGCAAGGTCCACAGAGACCTGGGGGGGGCGCTACAAATGGTTCCCGCCGGCGTGTGTCGACGCACCAAGACAGATAGATTGAGGCCCAGAAGAAGGTTTCAAAAGCTCTGGCCCTTCGGGATGCTGGGGCGTCCGTTGGGAATGTTTTTCGCGCTGGGGTCTCGGCCGAGGCTCTTTGGGGGGCTGATATCCAGGGCCTCCCGAACGGCAAACTGAAGGGCTTACGGGTGTCAGCTCTCCGTGCGGGGGGCCGCCTGCCGAGAGGAGTGTCGTTAGAGCTTGCCTCCACGTGCAGCCGAGGAGGTTGGGCGCGTGACCCTCTTGTACTGATCACGTCTGATGCGATCAAGACGTATGTGCAGATTCTGCAGGATGGCATGCTGACGGACCCCGTTTTGTTCGGCCCTGTTTGCCGCGGCCTTCGCCCTGGCCGAGCGATCCAAACCCTGGGCTCGGGTCAAAGACCCCGTGGGAGCCTTAGTGCTCACGATGGCCCGTGTGGACTTTCGCTTCCTGGATCCCTGGACGGTTTCTGAAGCCTCAGTGAGCGTTGGCATTTGAAAGATGTTTCTCCAGCGCTTGTGGCACGTCGTGCCCAGTTTGCAACCAGACGGCACTCTGATGAGGCAGGCCTTAAGAAAAGTCGGCGGGCGGAGGTCGTGGCTTGGAGGAATTTTTTGGAGGCCTCTCAATGAGTTGCTTCACCTCAAGGTCCCTGAAAACGAGTCGGGGGCGGAGGCGTTGGGCACTGGGGGTCCATGGGGGGTTCGAGAGCAGCGGACCTTGAGGGGCCTGGTCATTGGCTCGCACTGGTGCCAGTACCGACTGCACCAACATGATGCAGAACTTTCGTGCGCATGCCTGCTCTGCGGCGAGCAGGGCACCCTCTTCCATAGGCACTTTGTTTGCCCAGCCAGAGCCCCTTGGAGAAGGGACAAACTTTCACCTGACGTCAAAACTGCTGCCCAAAGACTGTCTACTTGTTCTGTGGACCTCCAGGAGCGGCTTGCCCGAGGCATCCTCCCCGATCCTTGTCTGTTGTTCTCGCGCCGTCCTTGGGGCCC